CTTTGATTGTATTATGAGAAGTTTAGGTTAAACATTAAAACTCTTTTTACTTTCTTTCTTTTCTTTCTACATATCATCCGTCTAAATGTGTATTTTAATTTCTACTACAGTAGAAATTAAAATACTTGCGTTATCTAAACTTTCTAGTAGAATTTAAAATTCTCCTATAGTAGAGATTCAAATTTCAATTTCTACTAGTGCAACTTAAAATCGCCGCTTATTTTAATTTCTCCTAGTAGAAAATGAAATTTTAATTTCAACTGGTAGAATTTTAAATTCTACTGAATTTTAATTTCTACTGCGACATATACATTTATTTTTGTTCACATATCAATCTCATTACTATAAGGAATTACTATTTCTAGGTTCTGGATCTCATAATATGAAAATTATATTTGATTATTATCATTTAAATGATATTCAATATCCATGTATATTACAACAATTTGTTAACCATGGAGGAATTTTATTAAAAGTATTTTTAATTGGAAATACGGATGAAAATAACAATCACAATGGCAATAATTTTTATGTTGTTCAACGTGGCTCAATACGAAATTTCACAACGCTAACAACAACACAACCAAATGAAACAATTGCATTCCATACAAAGGAAGTATCAAGTGCACAATCATGCTCTCCTTTAAATAATAATGAAAATAGCAATAATTTAATATTTGATGAAAAAGCAATTAAAGATATAGCGAATAAAATTCAAATGAAATTTAAGTTAAATCTACTTAGTATTGATATTATAAGTGATTGCAGTACAAAGCAATATGCTGTTATTGACGTCAATTACTTCCCTGGCTATGAAGGATTAAACGGTTTAAATGAACGACTATTTTATTTATGCATAAGATTACTCAAACAACAGCAACAAAAACCAAAATGATGTGCTAGAAGAAACGTTAGTATTTATACTAAAACTTAAACATATTCTATTCTTGTTTTCTCTCTCTCTGCGACGTTTCGATTAGGATATTAGAAAACAAAACTCGAGGATACTTGAATGGTTTTGAAAATAATATGTAGGATATAATTTACCTAAAAACGATGATCTTTTTGAGTTTGTTGACAGATTATCCTTTGCAACGTGTGTGCACATGCATATTAGTAGAGACCAACAGTCTGATCACAATGTTCTGTGATATGATATTACGATATCACTGGCATCCTTTGTTATATAGAAACATATTTAATAAATCAGAACTTAGCTCGTCTACTATTCCATTGACTGTAAGTCTATGATCATATGAAATAAAGTGTTTATGTGTGTGTCCGCACATAATGTGACGGACGTAGATACACGGCTCTTGGTTGATCCACGGCTGAGCTCGAGCGAAAAGTTACAGTGAGAAGATGGTCGATCAAAAAGGAACTATAGTGCCGCTGTTGTTCATGGGCCCGATACTAGTTTTGTGGTATGAGGTGGTAGTCATGATGGAAGTTTTTTGTTGATCTTTTTAATGAAGTGTAAAGTTTCTGTGAATGGCGTTCTGTATTGCAGTCTTTGATTTGAAATCTATAATACGTTATTGACCACGCTAATTCCGAATATTCATATGAGACGGGTCGCTAGGCTTTCCTGGAGATATTAGCAGAGACAAGCAGTCTGATCACAATATTGTGTGATACGATATTGCGATATGACTGACATTCTTAATTATATAGAAACATATTTAATAAATCAGAACTCAGCCGGTCTACTATTCCATTGACTGTAAGTCTATGATCATATGAAATAAAGTGTTTATGTGTGTGTCCGCACAGAATGTGACGGACGTAAACACATACGGTGACAGACATGCATACACATAGTTCACTAATGAGTGTGACCAACGTACTATAGTCACGTGGCAGTGTGACTGACGTCCATACACATAGGTCACTAATGAGTGTGACTGACGTACATACATATTGGTCAATAATGAGTGTGACTGACGTATATATATACAGTCATGCGTCAGTGTGACGGATGGACATACACAAAATTACTAGTGAGTGTCACGGACTTAGATCCGTATGGAGACATGCGTGCAGATTTTCTGTGGAATTAGGGAAGTATATTTACACCTATCCTGGCTGCAAGCGCGAACCGAAAGAACCCGGGAGCATTGTTTCGAATTCAGAAATACTTTTAGACCTCTGCAGTTCGTGCGGATGTCTGGAGAAAACATTTATAGGTTTAA